TATTATAACAATTTTGATGCAATTGTTTGAACTGCTAACTAAAATATTAATTGGCAACTTTGCTATTACATGAAATCAATAAAACTAATACTCTAACTAATCTACATCTAATTCTTGTTTTTAGGATTTAATTTGCACGTTTTAGCATAATATCTAATACTATTACAATAAGAACATTTTCGTAAAGATTTATTTGTAATATCTGATTCATGAAGTATTTTTTTGTTAGTTTTTTGAGAACTTGATTGGTTAATATCATTTAAAGAGTCTTGTAATTGTTTCTTTGGTCGGTCATGATGTGAAATAATGTGAGGATTTGTTACTAGCCCAATATTGTTCAATTCTAATGAATTATCAAACTAAATCGATTTTGATTCAATAAAACTATGCAATATACCAATAAATTTATCTATTGTACCAGTATCGAGAGCAGTTTGAACTCCTTTTTTAGCAATTCCAATACTTTGGCAGTATTCAGCTTTTGTAGAAGTATATTGTTGAATTTCAGAATTAAAACAGTCTGCTTTTTAAAGTTCTTCACTGATATCAAAGTTACTATTCGACTCATCATTTTGTATCTTTTGCATGTTTGTTATATTATATATAAATTGAATAGCAATTGATTGTTCAGATGTACGTATAAGATTCATAAACATTGTTGAGGTATTATATGTACTTGGAATTTAATAAGTGGGGAGACAACCAGAACAGAAAAAAAATGCCAGCAAAAAAGCCTTTAGCAATAAATAATATACAAGAACATAAATGAGTGCTATTATCTAAATCTATAATACATTGTCTATTGTAAGATGATAGAGTACTAAATAATCTAATATGCCAAATTTTACTAACAGTTTGATTACTAACTAATTTTAACATTGCTGAAAGCAAAACGCAATTTTCTTAATAATCATCTTTAATAAATCTAGATATATATTTTGAATAACCATTCTATGTATAAAAAAAAAAATAATAATAATTAGCAAGTTTAACTAGACTACAAAAAAAAATCAGTTTCAAATCCTAATACTTACTTGACTAAGAGTTAAAAAGCTAATTTGATATGGGCAATAAAGACAAGATTGACTTATTTGAAGTCTTTGACAGACAAGTACTTCAAGGTTTAAATGCTTGTTCAAAGCTTTATCAATTTTAGAAAAAATTGTATTGTAGATCATGGATAAACCAATAGATAGGAGCTGATTTCGATATTCAGATTCATGTTGACATTTTCGATCCGCTTTTTGATATTTTCTACTAATTTTATAAGTGTTGTTCATACACCAATTTCAGCTTTTAATACACGATTA